GGCGCGCCCCGGCTCCGCCCCGCCGCTCCCGGCCTCCGGCTCCGGCAGCGCTTCGGGCCGTAAAACGGAGGTAAGGAGAAAGACGCGCCCGTCCCTTTTCCCTCAGAACGGCCCTGCTCGCATCTGCGCCACCCAGGTTTTTATACGGATCATCTAAAGGGCTGTTTCCTAGGCAGGACAGAGTAGCCGTCTGGATTTCAGTGAGTAGAAAACAAACCCTAGTGATACGGGCTCTCTGTTGGGGCACCTGCAAATCCAGGGAGCAGTGGGAAGGCGTTTGCAGGCAGCCCGACCCTTCCAGCCTGCGGTGGCTGGGCAGATAGAGATGGGACCGAGAAGGCATCAGCAGAAGATGTTTGGTTTTGTGTTTAGCTGTGGTTCGAGTTGTGCTAGATCCACCCCAGATACTTCCATTTTCAGCACAGCACACACCTCTACTACTAATCACTACTCCCAGAAAATGAAGCTTAGGGGGATAAATACATGACCATCTTGAAGATCAAGCGAAGAGCCTTAGACCTAAGTCCAAGCTCGACAGTCCTCCAGCCATGCAAAGCCAGCACTCGCACATTATTTTTATAGTTAAAAAAGCATATAGAAACTAATTAGCCAGCTTTATAGCTTGCACACATTCTGATTAATTTGTAATGTGTTTCATGAGGGTTTGGTACCCTTGAGATGCTATACAGCTTCTAACACGCTTCTAACCCTGATGAAGCAGGACACCCTTTTCCCAAAGGACTGAAGACAGCTGAATCCCTCACAAAACAGCAGCTTGAATCGGCATCAGAGCTGTCATAGGAGGATTCCGCTGTGAACTTTATGCTAGTTTAGAATTAGTATAATACCAAATATAGTAAATGGTTTTTATAACCAGTTTAATTTGCTGCAATTTAAAGAGAAAGAAGCGTTGAACTATGTGACTGCTGAAGTCTACTTTCAAGGTGCTCACTATATTCCCTCCTTGTCTCATACACACCCAAAGTAATTCAGTATTGTCCTCAGAGGAACTGGTTGACCATCTCTCAATCAATTCCCACAAACCACTGAAATTATTGCAAGTTTGATTAAGGAAACAGATTAGAAGGAGTAACCCTGGTGTTCCATCTTTTGCATAGAGTCAAAATAAGTTATTAGGTATAAATACTCAAGGTCCTGCTAAAGTATTTATAAACATGGGAGCACCGAAATGCTTAGAATGTCAGTGGGAGGAAGGGAGAATGTATAAAATGTTTATTCCTCTAAGTATTTAAAATAACCTTAGGACCCTGAAGTTTATTACTGTTTGTGACTTGCATACATAATAAACACTACATACCCTAAGGTAAGTTTGAATTGCCTTGTGTTTCCAATGCAACTCCAGGTTGGTAAGGTTGAACGTTTTATTCCTTCTTGAGGAAGAAAAGTCATCCCCTGTGCTTCCTACTCCACAGAATAGAATCAAGGAGACTATAGGAAGAAAGCACTTCCCTAGGTCTGAGTATTCCTGTTTAAGGGTAACTTCTTTTTTTTCAACTGTTTCCTTAAACAGCTTAATGACACAACCATGGGTGCTGTCTTGTAAGCCCAAACACATGGGTTCCGGAAAGGCAGCTGATGAAACAGCCATGTTATGAAGTGATTAATTATCAAGGATATTTGAATGGTGGCCCAGAGCTGGATTACAGGAAGATGTGTTTGAAGAGAGAACTGCAAAATCAAGAGGGCACAGATGAGAACTCAAAACTAGGAAAGAGGGGCAGGCAGCATCATGGCACCCTGCATATGCAAACCTCTCATAGGCTCTTAGCCAGTTTCCCAGCTGTCAGCAGGGAACCTAACCAAAAAGCCAGCAAGCATACCAGCCAGGGGGTCAGACACCTAGCAAGATGCTGCTTCTGGAAGGAGATATTTCTAAGGTTCAGCCTCTGTCTAGTACAGCTGTGAAACGTGGTACGTCTACAGTGACAGCTAGTGCTTCAGTGCTGTGGAGAAGAGAGGCAGAGGAGAGAGGATTCAGCAAAACTAACAGGCTTAAAAATACTGCTCAGTAAGCATCACTGTTACAGGGTTGTTTTGATTGTAATGGTTTTTTTCTTCTTTGATTTTTTAAAATATACGCTGATTTAACTTAATAAGAACAGATACACCCAATTAGTATTCCCAAACATAACAAATGAAATTAAAACATTGGTTTATCGTTAGCCTTGACATTCAGAATGAAGAATCAATGAGCAGTACATCCATTCTAGCACTTTCAAAGAACTAAACCCGGTTCTCATTCATACTGACTGAGAAGTCAAAATGCATGGTAAGTGTTCGTATGCTGAGCATTTATACAGAGCTTTAAAAAGCTTCAGGAAATAAAGAGTAAAAATGTTTGTAGACACACACACTTAGCTCCAAAATTAACATGTCTAAGGAACTCTGTCATTTTACATTAAACTACTTCTATACATGTGTAAAATGTGGTATTTGACAGATTTTCAAAGTAGAGAGTTTAAAGTAGGTATTTAAAGTAGGTAGATTGTCTTTAGCAATTATTCCCACTGCGAATAACTATAAATACAGATCCCTAACTCTTTTCTCAAAAGCCTTTCTAGTTTATTAAAGGAAGAGTAACAACATTGGCGCACCTTTTCAAAAAGTTCTTGTAATAGTAAGTGAGCAAGAAATTGGAAAGGACCTGTCAGTTATTTGAAAGAATTATTTTCTGCTAGCATCATAAGCCAAAATAAATAGTTTTCACTTAACCTTGAAGTGTATAGAGAATTTTGACAAGAACTATTATAAAATTTAGTTTATCACCTTAAAATAAAGAGAAAGAAAGAAGCAAAACAGTGTTCCCAACTCTCATATCTACATCTCTCAGTATTTCATGTTGTACCCAAGAGTCCCAACATCTTTAGGCAGATAAAAGCCATATGGAAAACAAACAACAAAACCCAACAATATAAAAACTGGGATTCTCCAAGTCTCTAGTCCTCAACTATGGGGGAAGGACTGAAAAGTTGAATTGTAAGCAGCCAAAGTAAATAAAAACACCTGAATCAGATTCTGAAATCTCAGTACTTCAGTTTAAAGCATAAAATATGACATTAACCAGATACTAATGCAAGTCTTGCAATTCTAGAAGTTATATAGAGAGGAAAGCACATTAGCACTTGCACAAGCCATCATTTTTCACAGCTATAAACTTTTGCACTCCCTACATTAACTTATGACTTTTGTAGTCTGCATTTAGCACACTAGGAGTACCAATAGTTATTTTAGTACTGTATTAGACCTTTCCAGAGTAAGCTGTACTTCAGCTGGCCGTATTTAAGAGTCCTTCAGCACAACTTTTATAGTGATAAGAATTGGAAAAAATAAAAAATCTATTGTGACACATGCACAAGTGAAATATTAAAGCCAAATGACTTTTACACGTTGGTCAGAATCAAAAGTGAAAGAAACTTAATTCACAGGAAGATTGTTGAGTATGTCTTTAAGGCATTCATGGATACATGTGTGTGGGGAAGCTTGGTTCTTTGGGAACAGAAGGTACACGTTTTCAAAACTGAGATCATGTTAGAAATTAAGCAGTAAGAACTGAAAATCAGTTCTTTCTCAGCCTCACCAAACCAATTTGGCTCAAATCCACAACAGAAAGAGGAAGGTCCAGTGAGATCCCACTCAAGCATAATAAATAAGACTGATAAATACCTTTGCTAGGGACAGAAACATCCAAGCAGAGATAAACATTGGGTAGGGATAGTACCTGGCACACAGACCGAGGTGAGACACACAGCTCTACCCTTTCTCAGCCAACCCCGTATTCCACAGGTGCACAAACACTAAGCCCATATGGTTTAGGCATAAAGCATAGTGACTCTTAGTGACAGAGAACTCATTGCCAAAATTATTTCTCCCTCCTGCCAAATGCTACCACTCTTTTTGTGTTTACTCATATACCAACTTGAAAAAGAAAAGCCCCCCTTTTTAATAAAGAAAAAAAAAAGTCAGCTTTTTATGCAGAAGATTTGTTTTGTTTTTAAATAGTTATCCTTTATAGCTACAACTTCAATACCAATTAGTCAGGAATATCAGTGAACCTGAAACATTCCTCACATAAAAGTTTACTTCTAATACAAAGCAGCAAAAGCTAGTCTACTTACTCTCCAAAATGCTCATAATCCTTAAATACCTGCATGCAACTGAGAGTCATAGAAAAACAGTCTTACCTTTTTCTTTGAAGAAGAATAATCAGGTATGCAAAACAACTGTTACAGAGTTTCCTTGTTCCATAGGGTATGAAGGATCTTCACTAGTAGCAAACCCTTAAATAAAGCCTGAAGCTAGCCCGTACAGCACAACCACATGAGGGATCACAGAGTATGAAGCACGTATCAGCAGGTATATTTATAAAGCTTAACTGCAATTGCCTGTTGCACCTTCTCAACACAACACTCTCTCTAACACTGCAGCACGTGACTGGAGCTGTAAAAGCAGTAAATCAGTTTCCTGCTTCTTTAACTGATTGACTAATTAAGACCATAATCAGTAAACTATTTACACATGGAGACAAGAACATCCAAATTTTCTGACTTTTCACACTCATTTTGTGAGCTTCTCTGTTTAAAGCAAATAGAAAATGTATGGTACTTTGAATTTTAATCAGTATTTCCAGAAACAACGTGTAACAAACACATTCAAGAATTAGTTTTCTTCTCTTTTCACAGAGGGAAAGGAACACAGAAATTCATAACTTGTTTAGTGAAGATTCCTTGCTAGCATTCCAGAGCACACCATTCTGTCAAAAACCCAGGACCAAACCATTGTCTAAAGTTCTTTTTTCTCTTCTTACGGATTTACACAAAAAAACCCCACACGGGTATATGCCCCACTATTTATTCATCTAGATTCTCATACTGATCTTGCAGAGTGACATGCAAGTACAACATAAGTCAAATTCAACTGTTCCTCGCACCACATGGAATTTTATAAAATTCTAATAGTAATTAAACAAACAGTAGCTTTCTGCACCAGTTCATAGAGCAGAGCAGTCTTACCATTTGACAGTTAGCAGTATCACCATTACCAGAAAATCTGAACTTCTTGGAGAAAGTGAATAAATTAAAACTGTCTTCTTACTCCAACGTACACAATATTTTCAACTCTTCCAATACAGTACACAATGAAACTCGTTTTTCTGGAAGGCTGAATAGATGACTTCAAGCCATTCAAAAGACATCATATTTGAGAGTATTTTTCCCTTTCTAGACTTACTCCATCTCCTCATTAATACCATTCTCTCACTAAGAAGTAGAAATCAGTTTCCAAATATTTAATTATAATTGGAAAAAGATTACAAAATACAATGTTTTATTGTACTTGGGACTACACAAATGTATTACTTCAGTTTTTCCATTTCCTTTGAATTTGAGAAAAAGTAACAAGCAAAACAAATGACAATGAAAACTAACAGATGTATGAACTAGTTTCGTCAATTAAGCTTGAAAATTCAGAAAGGATTTCGCCAAATAAATTTCAATGGCTGAACCTGGCAGATGCCATTCCCCACAGAAGTGCTGCGTTCCCAGAATGAACTAATGCCCTTCAGTAATACAGAAAGTCAGTCACTTAGGCAAGGCGGGACTTATAAGAGACCAAGGATTAGCATCTCCGAACACTGGAGTAAGCTGAAGCATTTTGGATCCTCTGTCAAATCAGAGCTCATCATGTTTTGCAGGGTCCATACTGGGTTTGATGAAGACTCCTTCCATTGCTTTCCAATAGTTGTGATGATTAGCAGTAGGCATGCCATGAACTTCCCGTTGGCCTCTAATGGGATGGCCATACTGTTCCCCTGTTATTGAAAGGAACACCTCCGTTCCTACGTGCTTGAAGCGCACTGCATCCTCCCGCTCCCAGTAAGTCCCACTGCATTGCACAATCCATATATCAAGGTCATCTCCTTCGCCATCATCACCAAAGGCACTTACTTCCTGTTAGAGACACAAACTTCCTGAAGTGAAAATGTAAGCAAATACCTCCAATACACACACAAAAATATCAACCGCAAAGTCAGCAGAATTTAAAGGCAAGGATGGAGAGGAAAGAAAAAGCATTGTTGCATTGCTTTGTCAACAGTTATCAAATCCAGAAGCAGTAACTTTCTACCACTACAATCTGAACACAAAGTGCCACCAAACTCTGACATGTAACCTGAGCAAAACGTGCCAACAAACCCCAACATACATTACAAATGAAATGAAAGAGGACTTAAGCACAGAGATCAGAACAATCCTTCTGCAAAAAAATTCAAAAGAAACAACACTAATGCTGATGCAAATCTTCCCCACTCAAAAAAGTTTGTAACTGCAGACATTTAGTCTTGTAGTATGACCAACTTCACAGTTACCATTGCAACGGTTTTTTTCAGAATGTGTTTTTAATCACAAAGTCCCAACAATTTAGCTTATTAAGTACTCTTATTCCTTTTTTACTTAATTATACCAAGCTTACAATTCGGTCAACAACTATTCTGGTTTACACTCTTTCTTCAGATAGGCAGCTGAATAGCTCTTTAAAAACATAAAGAAGACCGTTAAAGTTAGAGATTAGATTTCATTATGCACTAAAAAAAATTCCAAGTGTTTGCAGAAACCGGATAGGCTAAGCACCAACTGTTTAGGACTCCAGACAGCCTTTAATTCTTAAAAATGTGATAACTAGAAGTGATGAACAACTTGAAATAGAACTGCAATAGTTTGTACCTAGCAACCTAAAATTTTAGGGTCATGTTAATTCAAGTTTATGTAGTCCAAAAACTGTGAAAGACAACATACTAATTGAAAATCCAACTTCTGTTAGGAATATGAAATAAAAGTTTGTGTTCATAACTACATCATATTTCAATAATGTCATAAGACACAGTCCTGTCAATCTCTGGGAAGTCATGCAAATTTTCCTTTCGCTTAGACGCTGTGCAAACACATAGCAAAAACAAAGAAACACAATGACAGTTGCTGAACATTTTTACATTAATGACATTGTTATTCAAATTGTCTAAACTGACAAATGAAAACTGGGGCAAGGTTTTAGAGTCAATCTGTTCTTTAAATAGTTCTTCTGAAATACTATCTTTCCGTCACTTCCTTTGTTTTAATAACCAGATCACCTAGATACCCTAGACAAAACTGGACCTTATTGTTTCAGGCACTTTACTCATGGTAAAAGATAAACCTTTTTCACAAAGAGTCAGGTCTTCCAGCTTTGAATGTAATGGCCTATCTACATAGCCTGAAGGAAGACTAAAATGACTGCTAATGACAAACTTCCAACAAGTTTGCATTATTTATTTTAAGAGAGATTTTCAATCTTGGAGAAGCATTTCTTCAAGGACAAGACTGGGACCTAATTACAGTTAGAAATTACACTCTTCTAGACAGGTACAAAATGATAAATAAATACAATTGTGAGAGCAGATCCATTTTTCCTGTGGAAGGAGGACAGATAAATAAGAATAGTGAACTAAAATAGGGATAGTGAGAAGATGACTGAGACTAACAGATTGGATCACCAAGGAACTTGGATATAGGAATGCCTAGTGCTACAACACAGGATTAGTTGCCTTGCTCTAGAGCAATCTTCACAATGTTGAGGGAGGTGCCCAGCCTCCTATGCCTTGAAAGTGCTAAACATTTCAGAACAGTCTTCCCAGTAGCAATGGTGCAGAATAAAAAAAAAATAATGCAGATTTGTTAAAACTACTGTGAAATACCAATACCGGTACATATTAAATTTTACCTCTGTCAAGAACTTGAATACATTATTCCAAGATGCAGAAAAGCATATACTTGAACTGTGGATATGTATAGACATACTGTTTCTGGCAGCTGGTACCCAAGCCTGATTCTTCAAAAACATGAAAAACTGGAGAGAATCTTGTCAATAGCATGCACTATTTATACAAAAGCTTGAGATTTAAAACAACTCACTTGATTATTGGAGAGTGGTGATGGGAAGTGATGAGTATGTAAATTTTTTCCTGTGTTAACATGGGTAAGTCGTATAGCTTGCCCACATTTCACTGCTGTTCCGCGTTGGCAACTGCCATCACTCTTCCCACGAATCCGCCAGTAACTGTTAGCATCATCTGAAGCTTCAACTCCTGTCACTGACTGCTGCCCGCTTCCTGTTTGAATAGAATTAAATGGCAGGAGACTTAAGCCACTTCTCCAGTTCAAAAAGTCCTGAAAGAACTAAAGAAACCTGCCTTAATGTTCTCATGCCTTCCTGTTTAAGAGACGTTTAATTCTCACAGTCCGTTTACTGACTGCAATGGGAATGCAGGTACGAAATAATCTTTCAGATTGAAGAAGTTAAACACAGCATGTGTTAGTAGGTGCAAACTGTCAAAGTTCATGGTGAACACGAGAAGAAAGTCTGATCCGTGATGGATACTATTCACACCATCCCACTTCTCTCAAAAATACTATGAAGTTCTTTGTGTCCCCAAACAAACCAGCAGCCTTGTTGCCAGAATAGATGCTGGGAAGGTACTGCTGAGGCCCTAGACACAGAACAGGGCTCACCTCAGGGATGAGGGCAAAGCATCCCTGTGACACCCCCACTCCAGGACCTGCGGAGCTCAGCCGCATCTTCCTGTACCCCAGGCCTCAGCATCCTCCTCTCCCTGCCAGGCTGCCCGGTCTCCAGCGCATCCCACAACCCCAGCCCTGGCCCGCTACTCCCTCTGCACCAGGGACACGGACCTCAGCAACCTCTAATCTCCTCCTCCTTCATTGCCACCCCT